AATAATTATAAAATAAAAAGTAAGTAGATAGTAAAGTATTATGTCAGCGATGCTTAAACAAAACCTAATGAATAACTAGCAGTAGATTATAAATATTATAAATATTTCATTATTTGCATTTCACGAATGATTTCAGGGAAATCAGTACTCATATCGAAGTGCTCATATACTGAATGATTATCGTATTGTTGTTGACATGGATAATAACAATAAAATTGGTACAATAACTCGTAAGCTGACAGCTAATGGTGGTTATTATTTCTCTTTAGTACAAGAACTGGATGACAATGTTACTAACGTCCTTAATGTTTGCTGCAAGACGATACTTCAAAGAGACAGTTGGGTGCAAAATATTATAGCGGCACAGTAAGTAACTTATAATTGTTCTACTCTTAAATTATAAACCTAAATTTGAAATTGTATATATTAAGATTTATCGGAGATTGTTTATAGGGATAATGTGCGACCTAAAGATGCGGAAGCATCAGGTCATTGTTTGCAGTATCACAGCTATGATAAAGCTACAGTTTGTTTTCATTGTGAAAAGCTTCTTGTTGGTCTATTCTATCAAGGATATCATTGCTCCGGTTAGTAAATAAGCTGGTTATTGGGATAATATTGTGTTAATTTGTCAGATTTTCAGTACCAAAATTATTGCTAAATAGTCCGTTTTAACATTATTGCAGATTGTAAACGAAATTTGCATCGTTCGTGCTTATCGATGAGTAAATGTCCAGGAGTTGGTATTATATTAACACGAAGTCAAGGTCCAAATAGACGGAAACATACTGCTTCCTGTTAGTAGCACTTGCTTTTGGAACTTAAAAATGTATGCTCCGTTCGGAGTGATCGCATAAAGTTCACTTTTGATCACTTCATCTATTGTTTTTCGCGTTCCAAAATATTCCCTTGGGAAAAATTCTAAGTTAACTATTTAGTGCAACCCCATGAATGTGTCCGCGCAGTACAATCATTTCGAACAAACGATCCACTGTTCCTATCATTTGAAATGAATGATTTGATAGAAATCATTCAACGAAATGTTGATGGCACACTGGTGGTTAGAATTTTATGAACTTTTTTTCAATATACTCTTTTTAGTTTAGCGACTGAAACTTTAACAAATCGTAGAGAAAAAAAATTTATGCAATAAGGCAGTAAAAAATCCACGAGCAAAGAGTCTTAGCTGTCTGAGCTACGTATTTCTATTTCACATTTCATAAGCGGTGGAAGAGCTAACACAAGAAAAAAATTTGTTTCTTGGATGCTATGTAGTGTCAGACTTCTTCCTAATGAATCTGAATCACATTCACTACGTTTGTAATTAAAATTGCTTTCGCAGTATTACCCGCCTATGGATTATGAGCACTAATTCAGGGGTGCAGATCCTTTATTTCTATCGCTTATTACGTTGATTTTTGTAAATTAAGAATTTGACTATTTTTAAGAAATCTCAGTCAGTTAGTGAAAGATTTGAGAAATAACTTTTGTTTTTCTAACAAAGCTATTCCAGGGACGAATTGTTGCGTTTCCTAATCGAGTTGGACTTATTCAACCGGAATTTGTTCGCCGATTTCGAGTAAGTTGAGGCTGAATTTATGAATTAAATTTAAGATTGAATGAAATATGTCTTTATGGTGCTTTTTTATCACAGCATAAAGATATGCAAAACAATGAAATATGTCTTTATGGTGATGAGTTTAAACCAAACATTAATTATTTGTAGATTTCGACGTCGTCATTGCATATGGGTTTGTCTACAGGTACTTCATCAAGTAGCGTTACACTGTCATCACCGGTGGAACATAGTGATTCTTGCATTAGTTCACCTCAGTTACAGCTGCCTCTTACAAACGGAGAGCGCAAATCTTCTTCCTCGGTTGAAAACATGTAAATTTTATCTTCTTCATCTATCTGAATATTTTAATTTTAAAGGGATTAATTTCTTTGTTCTCGCTGACTTAGCGGAGTGATGTTTTCAACGAACTGTTTTCACAATAGCCCAATAGATTTTTTTTTAAAATTATACAGTGTGACATCATAGGAATTGAACTGTACAAAATATTTTTGAATTCCAACAAATTTTTGATATAATATTCTATCTTCTTTACGATTGCTTTGCTGAGTTCGACTCTTTCTTCTTTCATCTGCCAAGAGGGCTTTGGATTTTTTAAAATCATTTTCTGTCGAAAATGTATATCATCCTAAGTCCATTTATTTTCCAACCTTGCTAGTACATGTGGAATCATTCCATACTAAAACATTTGTGTATAATCTTACTGTAACTCTTTCTTAATTTTCTGCTGCTGTGAAATTTGTAACTGATTCAAATTTTGCCAATAAGTAAATGACATATAAAGATATAACTATGAATAATTTACTTTTTGCAGGTTTTTACCTCGGAAATCGCAAAGCCAGGATTATGTGAATACTGAAGTGATGGGTCAACAGTGGTATCGGGGACCAATGAAGCGCTGGGATGCGGAGGAACTATTACGTGGCACACCCGATGGTACCTTCTTAGTACGATTCAGTGCAACACAGCAAAAATATGTTATCAGCATAAGGTCTATTTTATAAATTATTGTAATCTATTTTCACAAATATTTGAGAACAAAGAAATTTTGGTTAAATAAAATAGTTTGGACTTTTCACTGTATCTTAGGCATTTTTTTCTTAAGCGGGGTTGCGTACATATCATACGGGCAATTTAGTGATTGAGTTTACGATTTAATATCTTACGAGGTTCAAAAATTGAAGATGCTATACAAATAAATTTGTGCAAAAGCGGTGATGACCATGCCTTGAGTGTTCTTTCCTTTGTTCAAAAAATTAAAATATATTTGGTGATAGCGTACAAATATAGTTAAGAATTAAATGTGTTGCGTCTCTTTCTCGTTTCTCTTTAAAAGTAAAATTTAGTTTCAATGGTGACGTGAAACACACAAAAGTGGAACAATCTCCAGAAGGACGTTATTACCTGGACGAAAGCACAATGTTTGCAGGCATCGTGGTTAGATATTAGCAATTTGTGAAACTTTTCCTTGACAAAAGCACAGACACTAAAGCAACAGATACTACTACCGTTATTGACATCTTCGAATAACTGGCAAGGAGATACGTTAGCGGAGTAGTAGACTAGCAGTTAGTAACAATGTTGATACTAATAATACTATGATAAAAAGGTAGTGATAGTAATAGGTGATCATTACTATTGGATAGCTAAAGGAAGTCCCACTATCTGAATTTCAGGAGTTGATCAACTACTATAGAGAGAATAATTTGCGAGAATCATTCGAAACTTTAAATACCACTTTACGACATTCTTATACCGATAAACAATCATATGTTGCCTTGCACAATTTTGAAACATCAGAGCCAAATTTTCTCACTTTGGTGGTTGGTCAAAAAGTCTACGTGATCAGTAGGACTGGTGAAGATCGAGGCTGGTGGAAAGGACGTAGTGGTAATCGAGTAAGTCATTACTTAAATTAGTTTTTGAGTATGCGAAACGCAAAATCATTTGATGTTGTTCAAAAAGTCATTTTTTGATCATTCAGTGTTCCTGAAGTTTGAGCCAATGTTTTGCGATAGCATATCTGAGTCAGAAAAGTTTTCATTCAACTTTTTAGTTTGCCATGAAAAATCTTTTTATGGCTAGGATAATGGAGATTATCTTTTCTGTTTTATTTATTAGTAATTTGTTGTCGCCTGAAGGAAAAATGAGTGTCTGCTTTTAAAATTTCATAAAAAATTATTTTAGGTAGGTTACTTCCCACTTGCTTATGTCGCACCAGCGGAAGAGGCATGACGATACTCAAATTTTTTTATATTCAATAAACAGATCAACTTTACCGAATTTTTGCTCAGTAGATATGGGTACAAATCTTTTTTTCGTGATTTTATCTGGATCGATCTTTTAATCTTTTAAATCAAGTTTTGCACAAGAATCATGATTTATATACATGTGTGTATTGGTCAAGGATTTAATTTTGTTTTTTTCTTAAAATATCTAAATCATTTAATGCCTTCGAGGCTACAAAAGTGAAGTAATACTTCAGCTAAACTTTTTGCCAATGTATGATCAATCCGGAATGGGAATTTTCACAAAAAAGATGGGAACATATTGTTTATTCGAATTTTCTTTATCGTGATTTGCTTTACCGTTTTACTATAGCAGTTGGCAGGATCAGTAATGTGACGGTTTGATTTTTTGTGAACCTTTATTATTATATTCCTCTATGTTCTCACATATGAAATAGGGACCGCTTGATGACCTTTGTTAATATACTGCAGTAGGTTAATAACAGTCATCAAAAGGTTGACATTTTAAATGAAATACGACTGCTTCCTTGCTATAAAAACATTTTATACCCGTTTTTTCCTGTGGGACTTTACTGTTATATTTCATTGATTTTGTTGTATGCTATTTTGAAGTAGTGAACTTTTTGAAACTTTTAAGGTTAGCTTATCGGTGCTTTTGGATACAAAAATTATTTTTTGTTATTTCCAAAGATTTTTGTTGATGTTCTTAATTGATTTGAAAACCTGCAATATGTAAAGCCTAGGAGTTATAAAAATAGTGGCATTCTGATTTTGTTCTTAATGAATTAAAATTAAGACCGTCTGTGAACTTATAGAAGTGATGTTACCCTGCTTTTGTGGGTAGGGTATGATATAAGTGAGTGGGAAGAGATTAATTCAGCAAGACTTTTAAGCTATTTTTACTGCCTGAAAATAGTGGTGAAATTATTTTCTCAAATTAGTTTCAGGTGTAAATGAAAGAAAATAATTTTTTCTAAATGTTTCCAAATTAATTGGTCATTGGTATTTGCTGAAGCATTATGTTTTCTTAGTGCCAGTAATTCAAACTGCCTCTTTCCTCTGTGCTTTGCCTTTTCAAAAGTTATGTTGATCACTGTATGAAATTTGTGTAGATTGTGTATTGTTCACTATATATTCATGTGTATTGTTCACTATATATTTATATGTATTATATTTTTCTAAAAGGAAAAGATTTTACTTTTTTCTTTTGTGCCATTCGTGATTTCCTAACTGGAGAAATATTTTAATTTATAATCTAATTTAATTTATATTTTTGTTTGCAAATGCTATCTTGAATGTTATTCCAAATCCAGATATCACTAATGACCATAAATATGTGACCTTTATACGGGTAAATCATGTAGAACCACGAAAAGTCATATGTATTCAAAATATTTTATTTCAAATTGAATTTCAGATTATAGAAACGTGTGTTCATGTAAGGGTAAATGTGTAGCATTTATTGTTATAAGCAAAAATAAATAAACGGCGATTTTAATTTTTCTTGTGTATCATGTTCTATCATTTTGATGAACATTTCGATTCGATACTGTGTTTAGATTTCTTTATTTTATATATTTTGGTAGCTATTTGACAATTGCTTCAAACGATACTTTTGAATGAGTGCCTTCCGAAATAAAGATTTTAGGAAAGGGATCGTTTTAGATGAAGGTTTTGCTTCATGTTGTTGGTATCATCACATATTTATTTGAAAAAGAATGACTGATAATGATACTCTCCTGTTCCAGTTATCTCACATATAAGTCTCACATACCATCTCACATATGCGGTTGTAATTTGAATGGTAGATTTCAAAATGAGTCGGATAGTTGTAGGCGTTTTGCCATTCCTATCGTTCTATGTTAGCGAGGGTTTAATGGTAAAAGCAGAGCAGGGATAGTGATTCCTTGTTATAATTCTTTCGGATTTGAACATATAATATTGATGTAGGGGTACAGTCGATTAAAGGAACTCGAGCCTATGATAGTTTGTGTTCCCAAAACCTTATCAAAGGAGTAATTAGTATACAGGAAGTGTAGTAAAGGTTTGTTAGATTAATTAACATTAAGGAGTAGATTTATCTGATCATTTGTTTCTTACATCATTGATTATATAAACTAAACATGGATTTGGTGTAGATTATTAGAAAAAATGAGCGCGCCATCACTAAGTAAAGCTGCTTTGGAACGTAAATTTATTGAATGTGGCGAACGTGATCGGATGAAGGAATTGTTATTGCAAAGGTTGCGAGAAAGTGGTTGGGTGGAAGAGGTGGAGAATATGTGCCGGAATTGCATACAAAATAAGGTTAGTTCATTAATTTTTCCTTGTGCCAAATCGCATTTGTAGCACGGGAAAAGAATGTACATATTCTCTTTCCGAAAATAATCAGTGATGTTACTGTTATATTCATTCCTGGTTATTCTCCTCTAACATCTAAGCATTCAAAAATTATTTTCGTATCAGCAGAACAAATATGTCTGATCGTATAAATGAATTTTGCTATAAAGCTGTTGAGAGATTTGCAAAGTGGAAAATGTGAAGTATAATGAGAAACTAAATATAGATATTATTTTTATTGGAGGAACTTCCATTTTTGATTACTTGCTGAAAAGTTTATTGGGCATTTATAGGTATTGGGAGATTTATAGGTATTGAATTTTATAGTATAATGAGAAATTAAATGTAGATATTATTTTTATCTTAACAGTTTGAAGATTTAATACTGATGTCATAAGTCTTTTTTGAGATTTATGTAATTATTTTCGTTTTTATAATTATTTTCGTCTTTTTTCCAGAATAGAAGTTTTTTGCAGAAGTTCAAAAAATTAAGCTGATTTGGAGAAACTTTAATAAAGATTAATAGCACAACCTCTTAATTTATCATTTAACCGCAGGGTATCGAACAAGTAACACTCGAAGATGTTTTGAGCGATGTGCGAGTACGAGCTAGACGAGCAGTGCCGGATGAAGTGAAGCGTGAATTGATGCATTGTATTCGTTCATTCTTACAGCAACAGTCTGGCATTAATGATCTCTGAATTTTAATTCTTTTCTCTTACCGTGTATATTCGCGCAGGGCTCGTTGATTTTTGCTATTGATCTTTTTGAATTTTTATGAAAATGTGCACTGATGTTATTTCCGTTCATATTTTGTTTGGTATTTAATGAGTTGTTTTGCTTTTTACCAATGAATTGAATAATTCAGTTGATTTGAGTTTTAAGTTCAATGATTGAATTGAAACTTTGGATCGTACTGCAACTGGTGGCAAATTACAAGCAAAATCGGGAAGACCGACTGTCAACTGATCTTGCTCGTGGTATAGCCGTCCTGCCCGTTCAAATTTCGCAATATAATGATGTTCGAGTGATTTTGTCATATTGTTCAGTCATAAAACTAGTACACCCAGTGTGTGTTCCACTGCAGCAATGACACCATGGGTAAGTGTATGAAGAGCAATTTTTCAAATTTTTGCTTTAGACAATCCGAAATGCTAACTCGTAGGATGTAAAAATCCCAGACCTCCATAACCTGATCATTATTAATAGTTAAAACTTTCATTCGAATGTTCCGATTAAATCGGAGTTGTACCCGCTTTCTGAGACACCATCGTAAAAGCATGCGACAAAAAAAAATGCAAGTCATTTCCAGTAAGCTAAAACTCCACAGTTCGAATAATTTAAGAATAAGAAGCAATAAGTGTAAAGAACAAAATTTATTGTGCAAGAAAAATTTAACAATAGGCTTGATCGACTACTGAGCAGTAACGAAATCTTTCTTCAATTTGCCCATGAATGCCTTCTTTTCCGCGTGTGTTTGGAACCGTCCATGACCAAACTTGGAGCTGGTGTCAATCCACTTCAAGTTGATTTTTTCATAGGCGAAACGTTTTGTTTGCGCAATTAATGACTTCCTCAATGTTATAGGCCTTTTTTTTGAGCCCATACAACATCCTCGAATCAGGACAAAATCCTGATTCACCAGTCCATAGTGCGGGAAGCCTCCCTAGAACATTCACAATTGAGAAAACAGAGAATAACCGAACTGTATGCAGAAAATTAAGACTCATCAATTGCACTCAGTTTCGTGCGGTTATCAGCACACTAATACTCTGAATTGCAGACTAATATCATCATTATGCAACGTCAGTATATATTCCTCATTTGTTTATAGATTACTATCACTTACCATAGGATTAATGCTTTTCTCGGTGATATCATAGTCTGTACCACCATTTCTTCTGCCCTCTTCGGTTATACAAGATTTTCCTATCCGATAGATCTTCTTGTTAACTTCTGTACGATGATGATAACCTTTCTGACCAGCGCGAGCTACCGTAAATTGTACACGAGATGGATGCCACGCTCCAATGCAAGCGACCTAAACCACACAGCTCCGGTTATCGTCAAAGAAAATATTATTGCCAAAGAAAAATTATTCTTTCTAGAAAGTACATGAATGGCTCAGATTCTATATATCAACAAGAAATATTCAGTCCACTACTTCCATTTGGTCTAATACATCACTGCCATCAAATAAAGCACATTTTAGTTAAATCAGGAAGAATCCCCAACCTTTCGAAGACCTTTATGTGTCTTTCGTGGAAGTTTTTTCGTATGCCAACGACTTGTAACACCTTTGAAACCTTTGCCCTTGGTAACACCAATAACATCGATCATTTCATCTTGGGCAAATACTGAGTCCACTGGCACCTGAGTGTGCAAAACTTTCAAGTTAATTCTATTTTCCCTGATAAAAACGAGAAACTTGCATCATATGATCTTAAAGATTAATTACCTGTTTTTCGAAGTGTTCATATGCCCAGTCAACCTTTTCGGGGATTGTACCACCATTTACTTGTATTTCCATAATGTGGGCCTTTTTCTCTCGATGTTTCATAACTTTCATCTGCAAATTCGGCAATGAACATGTCTTTATACAAAACAAACGGAAAACAAACAAACTAAGGTGCAGAAAAAAGCCTCCTTCCCTTCCCCAATACAAACCTGTGTGTGTGTGATGACACGAATTATCGAACAGTATTTTTTCATCTTGGCCAAATCAGCTTGTATTGATTTCATACCATCCTCATCTTGCCATTTCTTCGCATGCTTTTGAAATGCCTTCTTTTTGGATGAATTCCTGTGGAATATGAGAACTCTAACAGTGTAAAAGCAAAGAACAAAAGGTCCCCACTTTTTACGCTGTTTCAGTGGCCTTCATATTACTCCGATAATATTTGTAACAGAGGAAGGTCTGTTCTCTGAGGCTGAATTTCCCACTCATGCAAATGCAGTTGCAGAGGAGAGGAAGAGCAGTGTTTTCAAAAACTGCGCACTGAAGTAACCAAGTCACTTGCAAGAGAACAGAATAATCAAGCCAAATAAAACACTGTTAACAATTGAAAGCTCAGAAGGAAGGCAGCATATAAGGACTATTGCTATCTTCACAATCAATAAGTATATACTTAGTCTCTCATCATAGCTTTCAGAATTTTTTTCTACAACGAACATCTTAGAATCGAACTCCCAATATTCAAGTGTACATCATTTTACCCACGACACCAAATAGACCACGCTCTAGACTACTGTCACAAATTGATTATATTTCAAGATTTCGTTCGATGAAAAACCTTTTAATCACAGTGAATTAAAGAAATTTGCACCATAAACGCGTATGCCATCTCCAGGTTTCACATACCCACGTATCCCTAACTTTCACACAAAAATATCTAAAATATCGACTAAATATACCAATTTTTGTAGAACCTTCGTCGACAATCCTCTGACAGATGTTCAGCCCACACCGTCTTAAACTGTCGTGGACCGCGCGGCGTATCGATGTATCCCACGACACCAACAATAATCATAGGAGGCGTTTCCAAAACTGTAACCGCTTCGACAACTTCCTTTTTATTAACCTTTGAACCTGGCTTATCAACCTACAATGTCAATAAATAAAAAACTATTAATAGAAAACTAAAAGATAAATAAATGAGTATAAATGTAGAGCACTCAGTCCAATAGGGAACATTTTTATAGTTCATCATTCTATTCAAAAAATAAATAAACTCCTCATTGTGCAATTATCCACTAATATGAGCATTGAAAAATGAAAATGATAAAACAATACTTCGCGAACAATATGGGTCATGCCAGCTTTAAAACCCATAAATGCGGTTAAATGGATTGGCTTCGAGGGATCATCCTTGGGGAAGGCCTTTACTTTTCCACGATGACGCTTCGAGCGCTTCTTCGGTGTAAAACCCATCGATCCATGTCGTGGAGCCGAAAATTTACGGTGAGACATTGCAAGTCCGACTAACTGAAAATTATTTATTTCAGTGCTTATTTTCATCGTTCATTTTAAATGTCGCTAAATTCTATTAACATTTCATTCTACACATGTATAATCTATCACCTGCGATTTTAACATACACATAAATTAATTAACGAAAAATCAAAACAAATATGACTTATTAGTTATAACAGAGATTGACATCCAGTTACACAACCAATTCATTCCCTGGTTTGGAAAATGGAAATTAAATATTTCAAATGCATTGCAATTCGTGAAATAAAACAACTATTTCCATACACAAAACATTCTACTGCCTGTCTTTTAAAATAGATGCTAACGAAATCGAAAGTAGGGAGTTCAGTAAATGGAATTCTCATGTTTCCCGTAGGTTAACTTACCACAAACTACAAGCACAAACTCAACTGCCTTCCTTATCAAAATATTTCCGTAGTAAGAACCTGCTTAATGCTCGAAATTATCACAAAGATTTGCCTAAAATGATCAGGAAACTGATGGACTACATACTCACATACGTATTGCATTTGCAGAAAAAAAAAAATGTATATATTGTATCTGAAGAAAATAAAACTATAGTAAGTCTTAAAGCTTCCTTGCTCGCTTACACCTATAACAACCACCTCCCAGAAAGGACCAATCCCAATTAACTACCATCCCAACAAAATAAGTACAAAATTTAGGGGCTTAACACAGCAAATATGTTATCAACTCGAAACAGTATTTCGCTAATACAGCTCTATAATCTAGAACTTTGTCTTACAAAGAATTTTTGTTGTGGTGACTGTGTCAAAATGAAAAACAGTGTCTCTCTTCTTCGAATTTAAATAATCCATCTGATGATATTGTCTTATTCTTATCGCGTCATCGTAATTTTCGATCATACGAATTACTTTGCACCTTTGAAAGTAAGATTTAGCTAAAAGTATACCTTGACTAAAATTTATACCAAAACTGTATTTAGCACAATCATTGCAACATATGACGGACATATTGAATTGCAGAACAGTGATATTAATACACAATTTCTCCACGTATGCACATATCTACGATTTCTCATTACACAGACATTAAAATTTTCTAGGCATGAAAATAAGATATTCTTAACTATTAAAAAAAAAGATCCTTATATTTTTTCAAGTAAAAATAAGTTTGTTGAAATAGGATGAGTGGAAATCACAATAATTAGTTATGATAACCGAGACGATTCGGTTTTTGTGTTAATATATATTATAATAAATGACATAATACGGAGAATGTTTCACTATTTATATATTGGTTTATTGCTTATATGAAATATTGAAATTCTGATACGGTACATTGTGTATAGTATGAATTGAAGATGTACATTTAAATTTTTTATTTAACAATTCATAATAAACGTATTTCAAGTGTTTCTATATGGTGGAAATAATAGTAGCCTATGATAATAATGAATAGTTCTTGATAATATTGCCTATTACATATTGTTTTTGTTGACAAATGGATTCAGTCATATCGCAACAATATTTAAAAGAAGATATCTGAAAGGAATTATTAAAAGTAATATTGTATAAATGAAGTCGTGATATCGGTCATAGTATGACCTATTGATTTTCCCGAATCGATCAAGATCTGCTTGATTTCATTAGTGCTCTTCTAGTATATGAAAGGTCGATATATAATTTATAATGACAGATAAATGTATTGTGATGATATTTTTTTTTTCATTTCATTTAAGTCAATCTGTAAAATAATTCTGTATTCCGGACGGAATAAAAGCGGAAGATTTTATAATGAAGAGTATACGATATTTCTATAAATTTAAAGTGTAACGAGTCTGTTAAAGTGTGAGAATGACGTGAACAATATGGGTAATGTAGCACGTGGGAACACAGCTAGGTACTGTAGAAATGACAGCTCATTTACAATTATTTATTTTAATTTGCCCTCTATTTGAAACTTCGGACTTCTTGACGAACTCTGAAAATAATTTCAAAAATGTTTGAATTGCGACTAAATCTCAATGAAATTCAACATCTTCATGGAGACTTGATATAGCACAAAATCATCTCGTAGATTACGATGATCGGGAGTGCGATTTTACAGTATGTCGATATTTAATAAAGTGTATAGGTCAAATATAGATCAAATCGAACCGAACATTAGTGATGGGTTGTATATCAAATTGTATGTCAAATTAAAACAAATTCCTCGAGCAATATTCTTTGCTTCAATTTCTTTTGTCATTCATTTTTTCAGCAGTGTAACCTTCTTGTCGTTAATTATTGCCAACTACGAAGCAAATCTATTTCATTATCTATCATTCCTTCCAAATGTAATTCCATATTTCACCGATCATTTAAATTAATCAGTAAGTCTTATATTAATTTCAATTTAAAAAAATAGCAAATAGTAAAACTAAAAATTGCAAAATGTGTTTACATAATCGAAAACAGGAAGTATTCTTCAAATGTTATGGAAATCCCTATTATTTTTTCAATTTGATGTTCAATTTTGTTTATAATACAGTTGTCATTGTAGTCTATTGCATTCAACTGAATTGACTACCTGACGAACTCTTTAAATTTAAATTACTTTCTAATTTATTTCTAATAATGCAAAATGCTAGTGATATTATCGTAATAAAAGATGATTGATAAAGACTACCTTTGTGTCGTATGCAAATAAGAAAAAAAAGGGAAATATTTAGAAAAAGAATTGCATGATCTATTTTGGAGGAAGGAGGGTGGAATGGATAAGTGCAAGTTTCTCGGAGAGTAACGTTTGTCAGTTTACATTCAATTCATCTGTGCAACCAACGACAACGACACTTCATTGTACTGAGTCATCAATTCCGATCAATTTATTTCACACCATTTCATCGGTTTCTGATCGTTCTAAGATGAAACTATCTCACGTTGTCAATTATTTGATCAAATACCTGTATACCTTTGGATGTCTTCAATTTCATCCTCAACCTCATTCCAGTCAGCACACACCACTTCAAGTTTTTTTACATCAGTAAATGTATAATAATAGGTTTGGATCTTTGCTTAAATTATTTCTTTCATCCTTGTTTATGACTGAGCCATTTTCGAAAATAATTAGTCATTTTACGTAAGAAATTTTTTCATCACTTTTTCCCTTCTGTTGAATGCTATCAAAAATACAATGCTCGCTGTGACAAACACATTTTCCTTCTTCCCTTTTTTCTTTCCATCCCTCCTTTATTGTAGAAAAAGAACGAAATCAGTGCACTCCTTTCTTTATTATTACCACCACAAAAAATTTCTTTTTGTCACTTTTTGTTTTATTTTATATGTCGAACATTTTATTAATTTCTCGATTAATCAGTAAAATTGATACTGGAAGGATTTTATCCACCATTCATCATCCAATCATATTTTTCTTTTTACCTTGCCATTATCATTCAACATTTTAAAATATTTAATCGAAGAACGAGAAAAGAGGGAAATATTTTCGCAAAAAATTACAATCCTTAACAGTATGTTAGCTATGTTAAGTGTTTTTTCTCCTGGAAATCATTAAATGATAGCATATTTTATTAATCAACGCATTATACTTGCCGCGTTTAGTATTATTTACTAAATTAATTAACACATCCACAATTATTTGTAGAATGTGGTATCATAACCTGTTGTTACTGTTGTTGCTTGTCATTCAACTTTATTTTACTCAGCAGGAAACAACCGACATTTTTCCAAATCCTCGTGCTAATGGCTACAGTGAATGTGGGTTAAAATCGAAGGGATATGTGTGTGATCCCTACAAAGTTACTTTTATCTGCTTTCCACAACTTATTCGAAATAACTTTTAAGAAATTAGAATAATAAAGTTTTATTGATCAAAAATGATATTGCCTGAACTTAGCGAAGTATGGTTTATTCAGCATTTTGATTAATAAGACAATTAAGTTATTCAAGAAAGAATCGCAATGGAAAAATTAAATTGTAATGATCCTTTCTTTCTTTTATATCCTTAGGATATTTAGCAGTTGACACCTTTGTATAATTCAATTGTAAAAAGTGTTGTAGCAACTTACCGAACAAGAAAGATACCGACTAAACAACGATTTACTCCAACTATCACGACGAACATCGAATGATCAAAGTACAGATTTTTGTACTACAAAAGGTGTTGATGCTACCTTATTCATTACAAAACAGGTTGCCATTAAATTATTTTCTATTTATAGACGTTGTGTAATGAGAATTCATTGGAAAGCAATTAAAATTTTTCTCTTTAGAGGTTTTAGCTGTTGAATATTTTTGCTTATTCCATTTTAACTTATTTCTGTCCTTCTCTGTTCGACTTAAATAAGAAATTAGCATGATGTTCCGAATAGTAATCGAAGATTTAATGATCAAGTCTGATGTGTAACAATTTTTTAGCTATACTAATACCATCAATCTTGAATCTTGTCATGACAAATCTATTCAACTTTAATGTTAAAATGTTAGGGAAGAAGAAAGCGATATTCAGGGTAATGAGCAATTAGCACATCAATTGAAAACCCTTTGGGCTGTCGATGGACAATGTAAAAAATCTATCATTTTCGTACTCTCGACCAATGACCACAACCTATATTATGCAGCCGATGAGCATTCTCCTATATGTTTGTTTGTTTCTCAATAAATTGCATTGTTTTTTTTTTTACTTTGACTACAATTACACAGCATCGGAACGGATGTACCAAAAATTTTATTAATTCCACGAAAAAATCAAAGTGAAGAAGTTAATAATTGGATGATCCGAATTATCAATAATGGTGACCAATTAGGTGAAGCAAAACAATTGAACGGTCACCATTTAAGCCAATAAATAACCATTTTTGGCTTAGTAAGGCGTATATAACTTAATGGAATATCTATCGGTTAAGAAAGAAAGTATAGATCGTATATGTAAAGAAGCAATTTATGTTCCCATATTTTAAGTGTATTCTATTGGTCATTCAATATCAGCTTAATTTTAGCGGCCAGTGATTTCGAAAAAGTGGTCAGCGAACAACAACAACTTTTAAACGAAGGCAAATTCACATTGGCGTTGACAGCGATATTTTCGAAGCTTGGCGAATCTGTTCAGGCCAACAAGGACGAAACAATAAACGGTTATATGCTTAGAATCTGAATTCTTAGATAATCAAATGCATACAGGATAATGAGAACTGAAAATTCGTTTGTGAGATTGAAATGTTACTCAAAAGAATGAATGGAATATTGTTAACTTTTAGATCATTTATCATCAGAGTATATTAATATATTAGTATATAGAATGTCTTTTTGAAATTGGAATAATTTTGAAATTTGATGAATCATTTCAAACCCCATTAGCTCAGAGCGTTAGGAAAGGATAAAAACCAAACTCCTCTTTATTTAAACAGAGTAACTCTTCAAATTTCAAACAAGTTATAACTAAAATCGATAATGTTTTAGATAATACGCATGAAAGAGATACATCGATGGGTTTTCCGCAAATCAGCGTTCTCTCATATTTTACGATGATTTCATCAATTACTTTACATTTACTCGCTGCATAATGATAGATCAACTGTAGTTCGGGACCGCTCAAAAATCTAAAAAGTTTTTCCAAAATCCGGTCTAGCGTGATCTACTATCAACAATTAGAATTTTTATCCAAATATGTCCATATATCCGAGTTATCAGCTTCCATAATGAAATCTACTGCAGGACATACCCTTTATATAGGTAAGTGAAAAGTAAGATCCCTCCATGACTCCAAATTTGTTTTCTCCGATATAATTATAATGGAACTGTCCTGGAGAGTCGTAACATCGCAGCATTTCAGCAGAACCAACATGAACTCAATGTTTCATTATTTATTCGTAGCCATTAATTTTAATTCATTTATTGTTTCATCATATTTTACCTATATAATTCATGTTTATCCTTACGACCCACATAGTTTTGCTCGCATATCGATTATTGTGTTACATATGATTGTATTTACTTAAATTATCATGCCATTTCAAAGAATATCTTTATGTAACACATGTCATGTGAATCATCATTGCTTGTATACACTTATTGCAATTCCTCTGTAACACTTCATTTTCCGAACTCTTGCTTTACCTTCATTTTAACCACTCAGTTTTTAAAATGAATGATGGTTATGATAAAACATTCGTCAATACTGAAAGTCCAGTGTCAGCAGTTCTGCAATCAGATAATTGTACTTTCAAACTTCATGAAACTCTTGAACATCTTGAGATTTTACAGTATTCGAGTTTTTATGGATCTGCAAAGACTTTATCAAATAAATTTTTTTCATGTAAAAGTATGTTCATCGTAACAAGTAATAAACACAACATACAATTAATTGACCAGGAATCTTTTGAAGTTTATGGTCATTCAAAGCAGAATATCTGCTACCATGAAGAAAACAAAGACTTAAATAACTGATTTCTTTTTTCATGACTCCATGTTGCCTTCTCAGCCATTGATGGGAAGAAATTTACCAATTTTGGAATCACGACATATCGTATCTTACGACCCTTTGATGCTTTCGTATCTACTTTTTTTCTTTTCGACCGCTTCTGTCGCAATTTCTGTATTTCTAACCATTGTCTTAAATTGAATACATTAACAGTTGTGTTCAATTATAATTAATGAAGAACGACAAAGTGTATGTTGTTAAAATCAAATTCTGTACGCGATAGTGTATTTGTGGAGCACTGGAATTTCTTTTCACGATACATCATTGAAAGGAAAGACAAAAGATGAAAAATCAAAAAGATAAAGAAACTTAAAAATAATACGGCATATAAAAGGATATAATAAAAGGAGATGCAACAAAAAGATTGATTTTCTAATTAAAAACAAAAGTGAATATATTTAAATAAACAACGTCATTCAAATCCTTATCAATAATTATTTTGAAACTTGACACAGCTTAATTAAATTTTACCAAGAATCTTTTACCTGCTCATTTCCACAGGATCAATCACATTAGCTGACTTTCTTTCAATAAGTTCCTTCAACAGCCGTTGGTAAAAATCATCGTCGTCAAATATTTCTGCATCGTAATTATTCTGAAATTAATCATTAAGTCACTTTTCCAAATATATTTCGAAATAAAATTATTTACAAGTTGTTAATCTTTCATGATAAACCAAAATTTGGTACACTTACGTTTTCATCGGCTCCAATTCTATCGACATCATGTCGCTTCACTTGAGTTCTACGTAATAATCGGTGTTTTTCACTCATTATCTGTAAAAGAAAACCAATATGTGCAAGACTATTATTTATACAAATATCTATTACATCCCAAAATCGATCTCAGCTTGAAACAGTAAATCAGTAGCAAAAACATTATGTATATTGCTTAAAATAGTCAGCTGATTAAAAACCATCTTTGAATCGATATGCTTTTCACCTTCGAAAAAAATGCTCTACCTGTTCAATCTGCTTCAGTACAAGAGATTCAAAACCACTGAAATCTCTTTTCTTGTTTTTCATTATATCAATAGTACTCAATGTTGTCCTATCGTCCCATTTCGACAATGTAGATGATCTGAATAGTAACTATTGAAATGAGTGAGAACTATTGATAATATTTATTAACAGAAATAACTGAAATGTTCAATTTTACCGAAATGCTGCAAATCGATTATGGCGTTTCTCGTATTCTTTGAGTAATTCTTTCGGCATTAGCTTTTTTCTCCTGCCTAAGATCTGCCGCTTCACAACTTCGTTGCCATTTGTAATGCTATAACATTTACTCAGATGTTTTTATAAGTTGTACTGTGCGCAACACGTATCTTTTAGCGACTAATCGCTTATAAATCTGTCAAATCAAAATACAAATAGTAATATTATAACATTGGATATTATTATAACACCTTTCATACGACGAGCACACATCAGATTCTCCTCCACTATCTTTAACATCGGATTCTATTGCATCGCCGTCTTCCTCATCGATCGAACTTTCAATTTCTTCATCTTCTGAATCTTCGACTTCTAGAAAACAGATTACTTATAATTTCATCAAAACATAAAATAATTTCTTAATAACAAGAAAAGAAATGAACAGACTTTTTCTATCATTGCATTGAGACAATAAACTTTTCGTCTGTTTCGATGATTTCAACATCCTGTCTTCCATCGTTGTAAATATCTCATTCAGTTGTTCCAAGTTCTTCCGCACTGAAGATAATCTGTTCGGAAACTTTTCTTGCACTTCTTAAAATAAAACTACTGCCATCAGGAAACCTTAAGGAATAACGATTAACGCAAATATGCTGGCTCAGTAGGTATTTAAAAAACAACACTATGCATCGATAAATTTTCAAAAAAAATTGAACAGTACTAATTCTGCAATTTTTTCTGGTGTCACTATCTGCTAATTGTTGCAACTTCTTGGCAAGTTGCTCTCTTGGAAGCTGATTGAATGTTCTCAATGCTGCATGTGAAAAGATATGCAGTTGCATCAATCGGTCCCAAATCACGAATTGCTTCCGGACACTTTCAGCTGCAATTAAGAAAACGTAATCTCAGTATTTTTTTTACTTCCATCGATTTTCATGTTTGAGCATCAACATGAGTTCGAAGCGTGGCAGCTCTACAGATTCATTAAAACTGTGTCGTATTTTTAAAAATTCCAAATTAATTCAAAAAATAAACGAAAATGGCTTCAAATCGATCTCAACTTCAAAATATGAACTTCAACGAAAGAATTTCACAGTAGAGTTATCAAACTTTGTTCAGCAATATCGCAGGCAAGAATATGAACTACAAATCTGCAGTTCTATTAGTCATAATTATAATTGCAATTGGTCATATTAAGTAATAACTTTGATATGATAAGGTAACTTGTATGTTTTACCTTACAATCGGTTTTTTCAAATCTATCCAAACAAAAATAAAAAGAGAGACCTTTCTCACGCTGCGTATCACTTGAAATTGCTGTTACACCTTTAGTAGCATCATCATCTCTTTTCGATTGAAATTGCTCAGAATCTTTCCTCTCTACAAAATTATTCTTGAACTTAATATCACTATCTTTTTATCCTAACTGATAATTGCACATCAATAGTATATCATTTTGAGTGAAGTCATTTTCTATTTTTTGGGTTATTCACACACGATTAAAACTTTTATACTTATGAGTTCATACCTTCGCTTTCAACACTAGTGTTAGCAGAACACGATTCCTGATCTGAACTATCGGCAACATTATCACCATCAATACTATTGCTGTCTTCCTCGTTTTCCAGATCTTTTGTATAAAAATCATTTACAAAAAATAAATATTTTCTAATAAATAACCAAGGTGATAACACTGCAATATTCAAATAATTCATTGAGATATTGAATGACAGCAAGAAGTAGTCAATTAATGATTGCATAGTTCACGTGATGTTTTTTTTCAGAACTACTTATGACATATCAAAATATTTTTTGTGATATAATTTGGCATAATTATTCACTGCTAAGCGAATGTTTTAGAGCGATTAAACTAAAAAGAAGTACTGCTTTTCACCAGTTGAAAAGAATACAAAGTTGAGAAAATAAAGAAATAACTAACCTAGATCTTCATTGTAACCGCTGCTTGTATTAAGCCTTACATGTGCTATATCTGACACATCATCACCAGTAAAAACGTTTTTTGATGATACTCTTTGACCTTCGTAACGATCACCTTCTAATTCCTGAGTTACAATTATTCGTCGCTTCAAAAATTCGATCTGAAGATTGATTATTAACTAATTAATGTATGCGTAAAATTTTTGAAATTACTCTCACTTTCTCACCTTTATTATGTACCAAAATCTGGAAAAAATTGAATGAACATACCAATTTTGAATTGGTCCCATACTTGTAACTCTTAGCAAAAAGGTAAATAGAATGGTAGTATTCAGTCTTTTTGTGGATTATGGCTATTTTCATAATCATATCACGGTATTTATACTAATCTACCATTCATCCAATCTTTAATAGGATTACCAGAGATACAAGTCTCATACGTTTAGTCCCATAATTATTACCGGTAAAATTTTCTCCACATTAACAATTAGATTAATTAATGTTTTGTAAACAAATAAATTAGAGAGTGATTTCATATTTCAAAACGCTACGGCATGTATATGAAAATATCATTAAAAAATGGAACTAGACAGAGCCAAATTCACAAAATAAATCGTGTAAGCAATCGCTTACACAATTGCTTTTTCGGCAATTGTGTAAGCAAAAAAATTTAAAAAATTTTCTTTTGGGAATAAATAATTGAAAACTACCGGATCTGCTTTGCCGTTTTCTGCTGTCTTGTTCCGTGTCCACAGAGCTTTTGAATCTAAAAAATAAACAAAATAAACACAGAGCTTTTGAATTTAAAAAGAATAAACAAAAATAAACATCCGGAACATTCTTAGCTAGCAATATGAAGCCATTTATGTGTCGACCCAAACACTTTCTAGCGTTCTATGACATTCCATCCATGGAAACAGTGATTACCTTCAGCAAGATCAGCTAATTCAATGTCGGGAAGCTCGTCCACTTGTTCTCCTAGCGAATCAATAAACTGCTTTACTGATGCCATAGTTATCTGAGAAATATGCACTATAGCAAGTCTTTATGCATTACCAGAGTTACATTGAAAATTAGAATTTTTATGCTTCATCTCATGATTGCAATGGCTTTAGTAATTAAAGTTTAGAATCTATAAAAAACTAATAGACACTGAAATAAAAGAGTCTGTAACGTCTTGTTTCCCTATGAATATTACTCCAAAACAAAATGTGGTCATTTTTGCAAGAAAATTGCATTTTGTTGAAAAAACAAAAAACTTTAAAATAATCACACGTTATAATTATAAGAGCGTATGTAACAGTAAGAAAGTGTCATACACCAAACAGGCAGAGGTGATAAAGCATCAGCCAATGACATTAGAAATTCAAACATTAGAAATTTTACAAACTCCTGTTTTTCGTTATCTTCAAAAATGGCCAATTTGAATTTATTTGTAGGCTTTTACTAATTTTTCCATGGTTTAATACTTTACTACTTCTCGTAGAGCTCTATGACAGCCTGAATTAGTAGAATAATACATAATACAAAAACAATCAAGAAACAGCGACAAAGGTTAAAATCTAAATTGGACCACCAAGTAGCAAAACAGCTCTACTAGGCCGAATCAAATTTGTTAGCAACGTGTGTGCAGATAGGTGGTGTTCTTTTTCTCGTACGCTCGTACGTAACTGAGCGATCACAGATGGCTTTCCTTCTTTCAGACGTAAGTAAATAATGTGATCTGCACTAAATTTCAAACCCTTCTTTGAGTCCTGTTAAAAGTATCAGAGCCTTAATGGGTATAATTCGGCGACATAACACGATGGATGTGATTTGTCGTGATTGTGTGAGATGTACGACGTCGGATACAATTGCTAGAGGAACCTCAAGCTTGAAAAAGGAAGTTAACAGTATTACCAGTCATCGACGACATAATTCGGAGCCCATTTATTGCTCCGGTTCTCTTTCACAAGTTTTTCCGGTTTGTTTGTTTTCTCGTGATTTTCGTTTTTCCTTACTATCACTATTTTGTAAATATTGGTCTTTTATCCTAATGCTGGAAAAAATTTGTCCTCAAATGATTTGTATCCTCAAATAATATTGTTACATAGTATTTGTTCGAGTTAGATCTGTGATAACAATTTGAATGATACAGGGTTCAGAAGCTTTGGAATTACGTTTGCAATATAGTACAATGGATGATGCTCGAATCGGAGGAAGTTGGGATGATGCAAAACGTTTCCTCATTGAATCACGAAAACAGGACCTGGAGATTTCGAGAGATATGGAACGAGTAAATTTCTACACGTTATAATATTGTTTTATATAAAACCTTGACCTTTTTTCGATAAGTTTGGTCTATTCGATAAAACTCAAATTTCAATCTATTCGAATTGGTAAGTTTTCCAAGTAACATGGCATTCCGGTTTCATGTTGTTGGTTGGGATGCGTAAAATTCTTTCCATCAATATTCGACATTTTGTTTATTATATATGGGTGATAACTTTCTGTATAATGAATAAAGGTATAATTGAATCCGAAAAAGAACCTTTGGGACTTTTCATCTCCCTATAATTTTCTTATAAATTCTGACAACTGAATTACTAGAATGAGCGGATTTTTTTAGGAAAACATGCACTTATATCTTAGTGAGATGCTTATCGCTGCTATGGAAGAGATGCAGTGGCGTGCAATAGTTGAATCCCAACAGAATTCCATTGCGCAAGCCAAAAATGTTAGTATTTGGAGATGTTAGAACAAGGATACCTTCGGCTAATCTGATACGTGTGTCAAAGTACTGTTTTGATTTAATCTAGTTTTTTAATTTAACAATATTCAAAAGTTATATGTGATGTATTGAGCGTTATGTGTTTTAAGTGCTACAGTTATAAGAGTTGTAATCATCAATTTTTGAAAAATATGCTTTGGTGAGACTAACGATTGTTACATGATGGCTTAT